TTCATATTCCACTAGAATTTCTCTCCTGGTTAAAACCGTTTCTGTGGAATTCTCATAACAGATGTTTAAGGTGGATTAGTACTTTTGCAGAGGCTCCAAGGTGAGACGGTGGTTTTTAGGTATGAGACACGTTTCGGTACCGGTCGCTCAGAGGCTCTGATGCTTTCGATCTCCAGTCGGACACAGAGCTGCTGAGACGTAGCAGAGTGATGGACTGGAACTCAAGCGAACAGACACAGGAAGGTCCCTGAAGAGCGGCTGCCACTTTGCTTCTCGAACACATTAGCATTGATTTTTCACTGTTCTTGTCGTCACAAACTGTGCAGGTCATGAATTAGGCAGAAATACTGGATAAGGCTTATTTTACAAGACAGAGAGAAGAGAAATACTTGTGATTTAGCTGAAAGGCATCAGTAGAAACAGGAATTAGTCATGACTTTTTTTATTTGCATTCATCTCAACGGTTTGGTGATAAGATTTAAACCACCATGACAAATATGTAACTGGTGAGCAGCAAAACGACTGTAAACAAGGGGTGAACTGCCAGTCTGATCTAGTAATGAAGCATATTCAAATCATTTTATGAAAAACGTTGACGGATAAAAAGCTCTGCACACAGCGTACAGCTCCTGACGATAAGAAAGTGACAGTATATTGTAGAAGTGTTTGATGAGAACAGGAACGAGGAACGAGAGCGGTATTCTTCTTCTCAAATGTCCCAGAGTTTGTGTTACCATTACTGAACCCATCACTTACAACTAAACCCACTGCAAAGGGCATTACACACATTTGTAGCAGGGGCAGTGCAGCAGGGTGGGCAAGGCAAGCAATTTCCTGGGGGCCCAGAGCTGAGATGGAGTGGGGACGTGAGAATGGCAGAGTATTCCACAGCAACACACAACTGTGTAGGGCCGTCCAGGTCCCTTTTGTCCAGGGCCCCTAAAGTCCCTCTAAACGCTAAATGCTAAAAGTATACTGGCTGTCAGAATGAAAGAGTCAGACTTCTGTCTAAACAGTAAACCCACAAACCTGTGCAGCTACACATAGATATACGTGTGTGTGTGTAAACAAAGACAGAGTGTCTGCTCGGCTGCCTGTGTAAATAGAGCTGGACTCTGAAACAAATTGCCTCCTGTTTCTTGTGCAAACACTGAGGAAATGCCAGGGGAGACAAACAGCATCCATTTTCAATTAGGTGCTGCTGCTAATGAGATCTACAGCCCCTCACGCTAATTACAAAACTGCACCATCGCAAACACAGGCGGGAACATTGTGTTAATTTAAAAATGATATCTTCATCACTCATGTGCAGAGGGAACAAAGTAAGAAAAGCATTTGATAACATGGTGGTCTGTGTTAATATCACAAAGACTATTTGGATTATAGAGAGTGACACATTTAAAACACAGACAATGTCTTTTTAGATCCTGGTTAATTTAAGAAAATGTCTATCACACCTTCTTTAAGGCACAGAAAGCAGCGGACAAAATGGAAATCTTTGAAATATGGAATATTAGAGAATAACCTAAGAGTCAATGCAGCATCAGTGCACATCAACAAAATAAATAAATAAGTTACAGACAGGAAATGGCAGATGATGGATCCTTGGAGGAGGTAACCTTGCACTCCAAACTGTCAATATTCCCCCGACAGTGAAGCTCATGTTCGCTCATGTTCACTCTCTCTCTCTCTCTCTCTCTCTCTCTCTCTCTCTCTCTCCTTCTCCTGAAAATGCATTAGACACAGATGATACCCTCAGCACATCAACACCAACCGCTAATCTGTTAATTGATCTGGAGAGAGGAAGGAGAGGAAGGGTGTGTGTGTGTGTGTGTGTGTGTGTGTGTGTATGTAGGGGCGGTAGGATATGGAGGGATGACATTACTTTAGAAATATATAATCTTTTGTAATGGGTTCAGGGGCATCGGGTGAATGAAAGCTCGCTGTTATTTAGATAATTCATCATCCCAGTTTATTGTTCAGTCTCTGAGAGCATTTCACTGTCATAAGTGAGTAAGTAATGTTCATTTAGCATCACACCTTCACCAGGGCAGAGTCACAAAGTGCTTCACATGAATAAAACAACACCGTAAATGTTGTAATAAACAAAAAATATATGCAATAAAAGAGAGAACAGAAAGACTCTTAAAATGAATGACACACTATAATACATAAGGATAAAAATATGATAGATGGGTGGTCGGTCGTGCTGTAAAGGCTTTAACTCACTGACTGTTTATAAAGAAGCCAAACAAGGACTGAAAAGGTACGTTTGGTTTTAATTAGTTATTTGATATAAAAATGGGGTAAAATGTCTCGATTGATAGTTGAGACTGACCAATGATGTGTATCGGTGGGAACTTGATACTGTGGCTCCATCCCCCAAGTGCCACTGCACAGACTGTGGCTCCAAATTACGTCACCGGCACAAAATGGCATGGAAGCAGGTTAGCGATGTTTGCAGGGACCCGACCATGCAAGACTCTAATATGTGAAGACGAGTCTCTTAAAATGAATCCTACATGTGATGGGAACACTATTCTCAGCAAGGCTCTGTGAGCCCTACAGAGCGGCACCAGGTACAGCAGTCTCCTTAAAGTCTGTCAAGCTGCACCAAATTACACACACTCATTGAAATCAGCTTCCTAAATACGTCTTGTTCACATGGGAAATTGGTGAAATTGGGAAATCTGTTCAGTAGTTTGAGTATAATTCTGCTAACAAACAAATATAATAACTAGAATGTCGCCCATTGGAGCACAAACATCTGCCAAGGCCCAACAGTTCCCTTAAATTCAATCAAACTGCACCAAATGACACACTCAGCATCAGTCCTCCAATTGTTCATGATTTTTTTCATTAAAATCCAAAGATTTGCGCTCTGAGAAATCAGTGAAACTGTTGAGAAACACTGTAGAAAAGTATTTAAAAAAATCCTGGATGTGCCACCTGTTGTTTTTTGTCTTATTTTGCTCATGAAAACAGACAAAGAGGTAGAAGAAGAGGTAACAACACATTACCAATAAAAACACACAGTAACGTCCATATACTTTGGTCCTCGTTGTGTAACTCACTGTAAAATACTATGGCACCATGTTTTCTACAAAGTTCTCAAAGCTGCTCATGAGGGAGGATCACATTTTGTGAGTGAGCGCTTTAATCTGACTCCAGCCCACCTGGTAACCAAAGCGTCTTCCCACTTCTCAGAGGGGACGGAGACGATCTGAAGAAACCTCAGCCCGGAGGAGTCTGGAGGACGACAGCAGGCGTCGTCTCACTGGGAGCCTGATAAATGCAGAAGTGTTTTGGTGTCGCTGCGCCTCTCAGCCACTAAAGGGATTAAGGGCCCGATCAAGGCTGCAGCGTAAGTGATAAGAGTCAAAAACAAGAAGAAGTATTGAGTCACACGTTCTAATCCCTGCTCCACCGTCCTCACCGGCAGACATTAAGAATCATCTGCTTGACACATCCTCCTCGGAAACATAAGGAGCTTAGATGATGCAGCAAATTTCTTTCCTCAAAAACAGAAGTGTTCAAAAAAACTTGCAAAGATGCTTGAGCTCATGCAGGTTCTAGTTATTTTGACTCCTGACAAAACCGACTATAAAAGACAGGAGGGTTCAGAGATGTTTCAATATATTTTCTAAAATGAGATGTGAATTCACCAAGATGTTATATAGACAGAACAATCAACTGATATTTAATTTGATCTGTAAAGAGTTTGTGAAGAGAACATGTACAAGGTCAGATCATTTATCATCTGTTGTGATGATGATCATCAAAATGCAGATGCAAATCTACTAGATTCAGCTTCTAACATGTGGGAATTGACTGCTCGTCTTAAACATATTGTGAAGTTATTTGATAATTTTGACTCTTTACTATTTTTTGGTTATTTAAAAGTTCAATGTGTAGGATTTAGTGACATCTAGTGGTGAAGTTGCATGTTGCAGCTGAACATCACCTCCCCCTCCCTTTACAAACATGTTGGAGAACATGTGGTAGCTTCAGTTGTGATAAAAACTGTGTTTCAGTTTGTCCAGTTTGGATTACTGTAGAAAACATGATGGCGTCCACAGAGGACCAGCTCCAGATGTAAATATAAAGTATTTAAATATAAAGGGTCCATTCAAGGGGAAACCACAATTCATACAGTCTAGGTGAAACACACAAATGAAAACATCACTAGGATTATTTTTTATTCAATTTGTGCCAATAGACCCTTTCACCTAAATCTTACACACTGGACCTTTAATAGATCGAACTGATGATCAAGAAAATAATGGACAGGTTGATCATAAATGAAGCATATTTGTAGCCCAACATCAGACCAGTCTTACTTTAAATGTAACTGTAATCACATCTGAGACCCTCGAGATGAAAACACATGCTCAGTGTTTCATATAAATATATATCATTTACAGAAATCAAATTTTAAAAATGCAGCTTCAGCTAAACATTTGCTGGTCACTGCTCTTTAGAAGGCGAAAAATAATTTACAAGATAGCTCAGTGGCACCATGGAGGTTTATAACACACACGCCTTCTTCTCCTCTTCCCATCATGATGTTGGTTTTTAAAAGAATGACCGTGAAAGAAATGCTCTGTGAGCTGTTAAAACACATTATGTAATTTGCTGCTGGGGTATTGAGTCAGTAGTGTCAAGAGTCCCACTGGAACATGAATGTTAATTTACTGCCACCTAGTGGTCTTTAAAAGGAAAGGCGGGTGTGCAGAAGATAGTTATGTGTAGTAAGTAGGATGGTTGTACATATATTGAATCACAATGACAGTGACTGTCCTCTATGTACCGTCCATTGATCCACGAACAGAACTGTATAGAATCAAAACCCATTTAACTGAAGCCAAAAGTTCCAATTACTTGTCTTGTTCCATGTGTAATTTCCAACCCTTTAAAAATACCTTTTCATTTCACTCTTCTCAAATAAGTCAAATGTCCTTTGGATAAAAGTTTAATTCACAAAAATACATTGACCAATATAATGAAAATGTACTAAAATGTACTTTAATAATCCATAAAAGCTGGAAAATCATTGACAGAAAAACACAAGAAGCATTATTAGAGTTGGTTTAGTATAATATATTTCAGCTTCAAGAGACATAGAAATCAATCCTTATTTTCCCCATATTTCTTCTATAAAAAGGCCCATTTTTTTTCTGAAGCATTATTATGCAAAAAATGGCATTAGAATATATTATGGGAGCTATGAAATCCCAGTGACTGAGTATAAAATTAAGTCACATCAAAGAGAGATATCTGCAGAAGAGAAGTCCATGAACAACAGGGCGAACAAAGAAAAAAATATAATAAAAATAATAATACATATCATAGACCTTGATCTATCATCACTGACATGACAGGCATGGACAGTAGGTGTATGGCTATAAAAAATTTCTCACTTTTCCACTTGAAAACATCTACACTTAATAACTGATGCATTTTTTTCATGCTTGTTTTTGAAGAATATTTATAATCATACAACTAAAGAGGTCAACTTCCATGTCTTCCAAATACGATATTGATATTGAAAAAGATGAAAAATACTGAAGTTCTAACGTTGTTTTCCTTCTTTAACGCGGTCGTTTTCTTTTTGTTAAACCGTCATAATAAATGAAATTGAGGGGCTGCTCTCTGGCCACGTGTAAGTGGCTCTTGGACACTTTTTTTTAAACTTTCAGAGGCTTCGCTGCACTTTTATTTATCATCATCAGTTTGTGGCGTTTTGTTTGTCGGTGCAGAAATGGAGACTGTCCATTCGGGGGTTCACACTGAAACTGAGACACAGAGGAAGGTCCTCAAAGGCGAGAGACCAGAGTCTTCTCTCTCTTACTGTCTTTCTCTCTCTCTCTTTCTCTCTTCATTCTCTCATCTCTCTCTCTCCCCATCTCTCTCTCTCTCTCTCTCTCATGTAGATCATCCTCATCTTTGATAGGAGCAGTTCAGTCAGCTGATTCACCGTTTATGGCTGATGGAGGGAGGGCGGGGCTGGGTGGGTGGTTGTATGGGGTGGCGGGGAGGTTTCGGGGCTGTTGGAATGCTGGCACGTTCCAATCAGGGCAACAGTTCTTCATTACAGCATTTCTGCAACACAGCATAGAGGTCTGGTTAGTTTTCATTTCATGTATCATCAATAATCCGCCTCCAGCTCACCATCTACGAGCTGCCACTGCCCTCTGCTGGCCACTCAATGACAGTACATCCGTTTAGACAGTCCTATGAACGTAGGGGGAGAGAATGCAAACAAACTGCTAAAAGGTCAAATTGAACTTCTTTCTCCTGCTCACACTGTCACAAAAATGCAAAAACCAAGAAAACAACCTAGTTAACAACTGATATAAATGTAGGGGGAACACAAAAGCTAAAAGGAAAAGCTTTCCTCTGGCATGTTGCAGTATGGAAGATGAAGTCTTGTGTAAGATGTTTTTTATCAAGCTTTTTGCCCAAGTTCTTATAAAGTTTCTTTTGGACTCATAGGTCAAAGTTTAGGACCAGGTCGAAGTTTAGAACCATCTTAGGACCAGTTCTTGATGATCACACAACCCACCTACTGCCTGTTACAGACTGAGAGCAGGAATTGAGGCCGGCAGTGAAAGAGAGAGTCCAGAGGGATGAAGAAGAGCCGTCCACTTACAGCTAATCCCTTATCCCTGCAGACACTTTCAGGACAAGCTGGAGTTTAAGGGAGCTCTGAGTGAACACCACTTTATTTTGTTCATAACTTCTGACAAGTTGCTGTAGTTCACAGAACGGGGGAACCCTCCCTCTGACACGAGACAGTCAGCTCCTTCAGGGATGCTTAGAGAGGGTACAGGAGCACTGGTGTGTGTCTGGCTCAGACACGGTCCAACACGGTCATCACTTTAGCGAAGCCCCATCTCACAGAAGTGACTCATTCTGTGGTCGTGCCGTATTCACATCACAGCTGAAGTACCATAATTACTTGTTTCCCACTTGTAAACAGTGTTCACATCCAAGTCGTAATTACGTCTGGGGAATGTCAGGTTTTTCTTCAGGCTGCTGTATATTTAACTTGCCGACAAATAATAGAGAAGTGCAGGTTCAAGGTAAGTAAAATGCAATCGAGTAGATATTGTGAACATGTGAAATCACACTGACATACAGTAGCCATTAATAGCTTTTTATAAATGATTGAGATGGCTCTTACTTAACAGCGTGTGCTCACCACATGGGAAACACAGGAATCTTTCCCATCATTACCTTCCCTCACACATGATGTGAATGTGGCCCTGGTGCAGCTGCTGTCGGAGCCCTCTTTGCTCAGGTCGACACACCAGCGCTGCTTTTAGCTTCGCAGCTAAAACACGGTTTGTGTAGTTGGACATTGAGAGCCTCTTGAGAGCAGTTGTCTGGTCAAATCCCTAATGGCCTCTAGTTTTTACCAATAGCAAAGCCTGAGGGTGGAGCATGGGCGAATTAGAAATAGAAGTGAACATATACATAATCCTGCAAGCGCATGCCCAGCACATTATGGGACGTCCGAGAGGTCAGTGAGGGCGTTTGACCTGTCTCACATTGCTGAGTAGGAGCGTGGTAGGTGTGAGCCAATAGAATCTTTTTCATTAATTTGACCTGGAATAATTTAAATATTTGCACTACATATAAGTATTCCTGATCCAGGGCCATGTTCAAATAGTGATAAATAACGTTAGAACCGTGTTTCTTCTGCTTTGAGAAGTCAAAACATTTACAGCTGGAGTAACATCCAGCTAAACTTCTGAGCGTCTACATCAAAGTATAAAACCTCAGTCACCAAGTCTATAAACTCTAATGGCAGCATCAGTTGTTCAGGTGATAAAACAACATGGGGCATAGTCGGACTCAAGACCATGAAAATAAATAAACTCTGCAGGGAAATGAGGCCACCTGTTGCTTTATCTGCCCAAAAGAATCTGGAGCCATGCTGAGAATCCTGAAAAGAGCATTCATTTAAATCTTTAGTTTTCTTTTTCACAACCAAGTGGAACAATATACATGTATATGTATATACAATAGTGACCTTGCAGTGTATCAGGACACAGTTACACAACTGTAAACACTAATATTCAGAACCACAATGGTCGCAGTATGATGACAGGAGCTCTGCTGCAATTTCTCCCCCAATGAATTCAGTAAAATCAGAGACGGCTCGGAGCTTATGAGGTCAGAAAACTGGAAAAGGGCCACAAAGTGAAATGTCCCTTTAACTTTCTCTCTCTCTGCCCCATCCGAGACTGGCACTGTAGCCCCTCTCACAGTGTACGGGGCGGCTCTGTTGTGAGCAGTGTAACAGTGAGGCTGTAATCCCATTAGTGCTGGTTCGTTGGGCTGGCCAGCGTGTGAACGGGAGCATGGGGTGGGTGGGGAGGGAGGGGAGGGAGGGGGGGGCAGACACCGCCCTAAGGCCTGTTAACAGAGGCCTCCCTCTCACACCCTCTGGACCTTGAACTGCCCAACACAGATGGATTCAGATGAGGAACGCGGTGGGTGGGTGGTTGGCTTAGCAACCCTGATGGTTATCAGTAAAAATCAGTTTTATTTCCTCCTAGACAGAAAGTTATAAGAAATTGAAGATGATCAATGTAAAATCTCTGTGGCGGTCTGGGATAAAGTGTGTTGACAGAGATTGTAAGACTAAGCAATGAACAAAATTAGAGGGGGGGGGGCTTATAAACTGTGGGTTGACCAGCTACGCCCTTTTTTTTTTTTTTTTATTACAAGAAAATCACCCTGGTACATCCTACTGATCGAAAAGCTGCTTTTTCACATCACATCTGCGATTTTCATATTTCTGTGTTATAACTAATTGTTTGGTACTTTGAAAAATAAAAAAAACTAAATAACCAAACATTCCACTCGTTCTTCAACTGCAGAACTAACTTATTCTTCATATGTTTTCATACATGTTTGTCACCTGACCCAGAGGAGACAGTTTCTGCAGAACATTCCAGAAACAATATGGCATATTCAGGTTCATAGGAGGAAACATTGGACCCCTTCAGTCCACCACATATGATTTAAAACAATGTGATGCCAAAGTGAGGGAAGGACACATGCTGCTCCATGTAAAAACATTATCTGTCCACTCAGAGAGAGAAACATCAGCCACGGGACAGAATCCCTCAACATCATAAACAAGAACCAACACCTTGCTCAAGGGCGCTTCAGCACAGTTCACACCCCCAGAAGTGACCACGTGCTGCGATGTCCTTCAGTTGAAGGCCAAAGTCTCCCTGCTCGTTCTGCCACCACACCATCGGTCTCGCGCAACAAACACAGAGGTGGTCAAACAGAATGCAGCTTAAAATTGAGGCTGATGACTGCCATGTCAAGTGTGTGTCATTATCCACATTTGACTGATTCATCCCACTAAGACACACATGAGAAGGTATTGTGAATTAGTGTGGTTCAAACTGTGATGGCAAATGTTTCTCCCCGACAATGATGACCACAGGAAGCAGCTATCAAGACTGCTGCCACAATTGTGCAACCCAGTTAGTTTCAAGCATACTGATGACAATGTTCGGAAACACTGACGCCCACGTGAATGTGGGCGCGCATCATAAGACCTCAGAAGCTTTCCTCAACTGACTGAACCTGAAGTCATCTTCTGGAGGAAACTTTCCACAGCAGAGAGACAGCAGAGAAACATTCTTTATTTGTCTTCCTCAATCAGTGACAGATTTAACTGGGGTTAAATCTTAAAGGGTTCTATTAGTGTACAGCAAAGAGCCATGAAATTAAAGTTGGGCAATATGATACGAAATATAAAAGCGTGTCTGTTCGGACGGATTTACAGGAATCAGCCGTCTGGTTTATTGACAGTGATGGTTGTCACACTTCCTCAGTATCAGCATCCTGCTAAAAGTACCTTAAAAAAAACGAAAAATAATTCAAATTTTTCTGGGAAACAACCTGACATCAGACCAGGATTTCCTCAGATGAAAGTAGCTGCTGAGTTTCGTTTTTAAATTCAAGCAACGGTGACTAATTCATTCAAACAGTAATGATGCCAAGAAAAACTGTAGTAAAAGCACTTCACACTTTTGACAGCTGACTCAGGGATGTTTGCCGGTAAACTAATTTGACACATCCCACAAATGCAAACTATGAACAAGAAGACATCTGATCCATCATCACATGGACTAGTTCCTCTACTAGAAGAATTTCACTGTGTCACCAACGGCCAGCTGCACTTGGAACACTACACAAAAAGCCCTTTCAACAAACACTAGGCCCAGTTAAATGAATCCAGGCCAGGTGAGGTGTGACTATGTGCTGACTTTATTAGGGATAAACTGACCCTGTTAGTTAGGGTCAGCTTTCTTACCTTTAGCATCTGTTGCACCACAAGCGGCCTGGGGAAGGGGCTCTCTCTCTGAAATGTCCCTGTAAGGTTTCTCAGATTTTCTTTTAAGTGTTTAGGTTTCTCTTGTAGAGCTTAAGAGCGCACAGTAAAAAAATTTTCACACAATGTAATACCGGTATCTCTACATTGGTGTAAAATATAGATTATATAAGATCCTTTTTAAGACGTCACCCAAGAAAATCATCATCAGGAGAGCAGGTGGCTCTACACAACCACAACCAACTAGTTTGCTGTGCTGACAAAAGGCCAATATGAAGTGTCATGATCTCTCAAACAAGCTGTGAGTAGCATCATTATCACAACCATCTGATATCAGACGCCTCACCCAAGAGAAGTAAGTGCAGCCATCTTATTAGAGAGGTTAGTGTGGTATATGCCTTCATTATTCCAGTATGGTCCTCAAAGGATGTTGTAAAACAAGACTTGAATAAATGTGACTTCTGCACACTGCTAACAAGCTCAGAAGTAATAAATAATAAACTACAACTGATGTAGGCAGAATCATCCAGGACGACACGAGAAGAACAAAACTAAATAACCTGATGTCATATCTTTGTATCATGGCAGCTACGTGAGGATTTATGATTCATGTCGTGCATTTTAGGTGACAAACACACACCTGGCTCAGAGCTGCTGCAGGGGCTGGAGGGGGGGTCTCTAAAGCAGGACACAGTTGGATTTCTTTTTCGCCTTCTTCTTTTCCACTGGCGTTTTCCTATTTATCTGTCTGACCAGGTCATAGAAGATCTAAGAGACACAACAGAAATAAACATCAGTGATGATACAGTTGGTTGAATAACAACAATAACCAAATACACTGTTGTACCATAACACAATGACTTGAAGCCTTCTTACATGTGTGTTGATGATTACACACAGTTGACGGACCCACGGTGGGTCTGAATGTGCTGGTGTCTGTTTACAGTGTGGGCATGTTCATCAGTGGTTTACTTGTGTGTGTACTCACATCGAGGACGTTGATCTTTGACTTAGCAGAGGACTCTAAAAAGGCACAGTGGTTCCACTGTCTGGCCAGGTTCTGGCCCTGCTCCTTCCCCACAACACGCTCATCCTCCAAGTCACACTTGTTCCCCACCAGAATCATCGGCACCTGAAGACAAACAAGAGAGAGTGAGGATGATACTTCTTAATATTTTCCAACATGGTGGCGAAATGAATGAATCCACACACAAAGAAGAAGAAAAATGCTGATCAAACACAGATCTGTGACTTTTATTTTTGAAGTGGTCAACCGAGTCTGCTAAAATAAATACCGGGAGGAAAAATGAGTGAAACAATAGTAAGATAACAAAAGTAAAGCAGTGGTGGAAAATGAGCATGAAATAGTAGCAAGTGAGACAGATTCAGAACAACGTTAGCCCATATTTTGTGGGCCAACACAATAGCCAAACTTCAGTACAAATTCCAAAATCATACTTTTTAGATCCAAATATGACCACAAGAGAAACTTTTTCGCTTTACTGGAAAATCCTAAATTGTACAACATGACACTGTATGAATTCAGTGCTGGATCACTCTATGTCACCCACTCGGTAAATGTATCAGTGGTATTACATTAAAGTTTGTGAAGGTTCAGAGCCGAGGCCTTGGACGTGCCAAAAATATTAACAATATCAAAAAATAACATGTCTTATAAAGGGTAGCACATAATAATGAATAAAGTTAAGTAGCCTGTTCATTTCAATCAGAAACCTGGATGCGAGAGGGTCACTAAGACAATCCAGAAAATCAATCCATCCCTCCAGCAAGGCGAAGGAAATCATTTAGCTTACAAAACAGTGACAAAAGAGATTAAAAAATCAATAGGAACTTGCAAGGAAGGTAAATTCTTTTTTTGTTTGTGTAGAAAGGAAATCCTCTTTAACTAATGCTGAGAACAACCGTTGACATGAAGTCCAGCTGGTTTTGGAATCTTCCAAATACCCTGCACTTCTTCTTTTATGCTCTCACTCAGATGTTTTCACAACCAAGGTCAAAGAAACACGCACTCTTTGAGGAAGAGGGGAATAGTCTAGGCAAAACTTCAGCCCTTCAACTGTCACATCGGGCATAGCCAGAGCAGTCAGGGTGTCGGGATGCGGCTCATCCTGCCTGCTGTTTCCTGACCGGCTATCTAGGGAGCACGCTGGCCTGGAGGAAGCCGTGGCAGCCCCGCCCAGCCGGGATAACATCGCTTTCCTTCCTGAATGTTTTCGAACATTTCGGCTGGATTGTATGCTCTGGCTGCTCCCTGGAATTACATGATAGTGTGAGACTGTTTGTTTGTGTGAGTGTGTACGTTCATCCGGCATGCACAATTTTTTTTACATTTAAACTGGGCTTTGCAAAACCTTCCACATTAAAACCTCATGACAACATCTTAGTTTTCCAAGGGTCCAAAGGATATTTGTGTTGTATGGTGCAGCTAAACAAAGCGACAGGCGTAATCAACTAGTGGAAAACTTTGCATGCAGAACATCAGCTGCCAATAATATCAGCTGGTTTAATCTATTTGTGGTGGGCCGGCAACAAATAAATCTCTGCATGGGAAACCCTGCCTTCACTACCCTATTCTGATCCACAAGACACACTGGAATTTTTTTTTTAGAGGAAAAAGGTAGTATCCTGACATGTGTTAACTTGCTCACACTTCAGTCCTTTTCCCACCCACAGGCCACTACTGCTAAGAGGTTGTATTTGACAGTGGTATGGCCACATTCCTAACGACACTTATTGAAAGTATAGGATGAATATTCCAGCGTCCTTTTCTCTTCCCTCTCTTGCTCTCTCTGGGTTGTGAGGCATACGACAGGAAACTGCGATGTTTAGATTAACCCCACAGAGGTTGCTGCTTGATGTTTGATATCCAAACAAGCCTTTTCGCTGGACTGCTGAATGGCATTTCTCCCAGGGGTCCTGAGAGAACCAATGGTATGCCCTCCTAACACAAACTATGGGCCAAGCTGGGATGAGAAGGATGGAGCGAGGGAAGGAGGGATGAAGGTATGCAAGGAGGGAAAAATTTTCGGTGTCAGCAGCACACAAGGCAGCATTAACCTACTTGAAGAATCCGCACAGCCCACAGACAATCTGTTCGCACGCTGTTAACATGCTACAGACAGGTCCTATCGTGCCCACAATGGCATGCTAAAGATTGGATTGCGGGAGCACAGGATAGCGTAGTATAGATTAGTTCAAATGGATGGAGTTAGTCGCTCCAAATCCTGCGGTGAGTCAAACCCGGGAGTCAGGCATTAGTACCATCCTACTCACACAAGCAGAAACAGAGATGGCCCAAAAAAGTCATAAGACCTCTCTTACATAAGAACTGTGGAAGTAAGTATGGGAAGGGAGCTTTTAATATGCTGGTGACTACTATTCTTCACGACTAACGACTTATTTAAGGAGATGGAATTTGGTGTTCAACGTAGAGTCATCAAAACACTTGAATTGAGCTTGGCAATACTATGGGCATCTGTTCATTTTGACAGCTTTGCAGTAAATGGTCCATGGCAGAGTGGAGAATGAGAACAGCTGCAGCAACAACCAGACTGCTCTAGCTTTCGCTCTTCAATAGTATGAAACTCTAAGCCAAAAAAAAAAGAGCATCTCCTTTGGTCGTACATTCCTGCAAGAGGCAAAGAAAGATAAACAGATGTCACAACCATCATAGGTAAAGACTTAAATCACCACAGGACTGATAGCTCACAGAGTGGACGTAATAGGCCGATAAAAAACTGTGGATACATTCAGAAGGAAGAAATAGAGAAGAAAAGGGGCATTAGCTGTTTGCTGGCATGTTGAGGAGCGACTGATCCTGCAATCCATCTGTTAGCCTGAGGCTAACCTCAGCTCTCTAACCACGGAGGCTCTAATGAAGTACCACAGCCTCACAATCCAGTGTGTTTTTGATGAGCTGAGGCTTTCCTTGCATCCCTGACGTCCAATCACCCGCACGGAGTGCCAGACCACAGTGAGGCCACAAAGCGGGCCATAGAGAGCAGGGAGAAACACAGAGCACCAGGCAGTGAAAAGGCCAGTCAAAACAGAAAGCAGAGAAGCTTACTGGCACTGATATAGAGGAAGGGGAACAGGAGGACAACCGATAGAAAGATGAGACAGAAAAGATGCAAAAAGTATAAAACTTCTTCGTCAGGCTGAGGAGGCTCCTCGAAGATGGTTGATGGGGAACAGAGAGCATGAGAGGGGAGGAAAGAGCGAGAGAGAAAGGGTTATGGTAACATTCAATCCCTCCAGAGATCACCAAAAAAGGGCATCTGAGATTCTGCTGACGCACTGCCCCACCAGAAAGGGGTTGGAGGGTTTACTCATTCTAACATCAACCTCGCAATTCACCAGAGATACAGAAAAATGGAAATGTTGCTCTGATAAACAGTGAAGCAGGAAAATAATTACATGACACATGCTCTTTCTTTTCACTGTTACAGGTTAAGCCGAGGAGCAGACTTGAACAGTAAAACCATATTGTTTTTACAAAAAGCGAAACTTAACGCTTTAAGATCTCCTACTGAGACAAAGACATTGCCATACTTTATACTGGACTCTTAAGTGTGGAGCAATTTTGTGTTTCCATGTCAAACACAGATTAAATAAACAAACCACATGGACCTCCAAGATGCTAGTGTTTGTAGGTTATGTACAGTACAAAAGTTTCACTGAGTGCTTTAGCTTATTGTTTGCACACTACAGACAAGGCTACAGAAATACCACAACAGCGCCTGCATTATGTCAGGGTAATCCAAGTTTGTAATCACTGGCATGAGATACTGTGATTACAGTGTTGAATGGTATCCATAGCAACAGCGTGATCAGGTCCCTGAACAATGTAGGCGGCTGAAAACAGAAATAAGGCCTGTAACCCATCTGTACTATCTGCCACAGTTTCTGGTGTCAACAACCTATTCAGTCATGATAAAATAAAATTAAGTGAATGTGGAGGAGTTGATGCAAACATGCTTGTGAGCTTGAGTGTGCATACTGTGCACTTACATCCTCTGTGTCTTTTACTCGTAGAATCTGTTCTCTCAGGTCCTGGAGGTCGTTGAAGGTGGACTGTGCTGTGATGGAGTAAACCAGGGCGAAGCCTTGGCCGTTCTTCATGTACAAGTCCCTCATCGCTGTGAACTGTTCCTACACGGCAGAAAAAAACAAAGAGAAGGAACAGGACATGAACTCTGACATCTGCATTTTATATACTGTTAAAAGATTTACTTTCAATATCATTTAACACTGCATACAACAGAAGGCCATGTTGGTGTGACCCACTCAATGCGTACAATGGATGTTTAAGTCAAAACTATTGGTCAGTGTGTTCTTTTCCCAAGAAAAAGTGTGAAATGTTGGTAATTGTAGATTCTGCAATGCTATGCTTTCTTTGTCTTTTTTATAGTAAACTAGCAAAACTATTTGGGGTTTGGACTGTTTGTCACAGAAAACATGCACTCCCTTAACTAGCTGCAGATGTTTTTTAGACCATATGATTATTCGAGGAAATCTGAGGATTAGTTGCAGCCCTGGTTGATGCAGAAAAGATATAGTGCAGTGCAACTGTTGGATCTCTGTTTTTTCACGGCATTCCGCAGAAGACTGCAGGACAAAATGACGGCAACCTGCTTAAAGCATCAGGCATTCTGTGTGCAATATCTTATCAAAGCTCTTGTAGCAAACTTTTGAACCAGTTTTACATAAAAACACTGAACAACCTTGAGGTAGCATAGTTTCCTTATTTTGAAAGAAAAAAGTCATGACTCGGCACCTTGGCTTATGAGAATCCTTAAATACAATTTTAGTTAATTACAATAGAATGTAATTTTCTTTGTTTTTTATGCTCCTTCATATATGTCATATATTTATATATATATATCTTATCAGAAGTAATGAATCTGAACCAGCAATGTTTTTCAATCTAGGAAATATCCTACTAGGAGTGTTTCCCCATTACTTACAAAGGCAGGATTCAATACAGTGTCTAAACAATCATTATACACTGAAAAGCTGGATATTGACAGAGCTTTCAGTAGCGAGGAGTTCACTTACTGTGCCTGCTGTGTCAAGAATTTCAAGCATACATTGCTGCCCGTCTACCTCCACTTGCTGTGAAAAAAAGAAGAAACGCGTCATCACACTGAGATAATGTAGGAGTTAATTTCAGGTCACTGGGCACATCATAGTCCATGTTTAGATTCTTGTATACAATAAAGACCAGGACAGAAGAGAAGAGAAGAAAAAAGAAAGAAAAAGAAAAAAGAACAAATTTAACAATATTTTTTTTAAAAGATGGAAAATGATGTGAGAGACAGAGAGAGAGAGAGAGAGAGAGAGAGAGAGAAAGAGAGTTACATGAGAGAAAAAGAGGAAAATATCATGACGTGAACTTGCAGAGCAGCTGCTAACAATCAGCTCATTCCACCCCAGCACTCGCCGCCTCTCCCTCGCCGCTGTCACAGGACACTCACCTTTCTGTACGAGTCTTCTATTGTCGGGTCATATTTTTCCACAAAGATTCCCTGTACAAACTGAACTGTCTGCAAGAGAAGACACATAGCAAGTCGACGTCAGATCATGGCGACCTTCCATGCGACAAGAACAAACCGTCCAGAGAGGCAAATATCGCCACGGTAACATATCTTCTAGCTTCTTACAAAAACTGGAATGAGTATGTTGAGTTTGTTCATGGAGGTGATGGGCAGCAGAAAGAGTTCAACTGAACCCCCAGTACACAGTCATTTCACCAACATGTGTGACTACATGCATGTGAAAGGTTTGGCCTGAGCTACATAAAGCACTGTGCTTAGTGGCAGATTTACATCAGAGGTGGACTGAGTTCACATGATAAAGTCTAAACAGGTCAGCCTTCCAGTCTGAGGGATTAACCCAACTTTGACACCTGAAGTTAGCTTAGCAGAACATTTCACAATCATGCATGTGCTAAAGAAATCTTGTAATGACAATAAAATACATAACATGTGAGACCTGATTCATATTTTTAAGTTTGCCAATGTGGGATTTACCACTGGATAGCTTAGAATTGGCAAAAAAGAATTGGAATCTGAAATAATAATTTTTTAAAAAGGACTCTCTGGCAGACATGGTTAATATTTCAAAAGAATCACATACAACTGGACTAGAAAAAAAGCCTGTGTGCATATTTGTCAGGATACAAAAGTAGGAAATTAAAGAACAGGACAGTTTCATCTGTAGTTTACGATTACACTGTCCATTGCTTCAGTTTTTCTACCACATACCTATATACCAAAATATGTTGCGGTTTTATTGACAAATATCTGACCGTGTGCCACAAAGTCTTTAAGAAGAGAGAGAGAGGCAGGAAGGGGGTCAGGAGTGTGTGGATACTTACCAGAGCGGACTTGCCCACACCTCCAGAGCCTAACACCACTAGCTTGTATTCACGCATGGTGGGATTGTTTCACCGGACAGCCCAACGGTCTGCAGTGGAGAAACAGGGAGAAAAATGGGACAAGCAAAATGAGAGGTGAAGTAAAGAGAGTGAAACAAAACTAAAAATAACTTCTGCTCGAGCTAACTTTCTTTTCGAGCAAAACAAAGACATTTACCCAGACCGGTCTCTTAGTTTTTCCCACTCTAGAAAGGAGGGATTCTAGCCATTCCTGGAGGTTATGGACAAGACGCAGCACAACAATAGAGGGAACACCCATAAGTGGAGCTGCTTCAGGGTGGAGGAGGTGAAGAGTATGTGACCCCTCTCTAACACGAACCAGCTGTGAGTGTAGGGGGAACTGAAGGGGAGATAATACATGGATCTGGCAGATATTCCTCTGAATGACACCATCATTTGGCCTTTGCTCACCAAAAACACACCCTGCCGTCTGAGTTTCAGCCACTCACTCATTCCTGGGAAAACAACAGTCATTTAGACTAATGACAGAAAACAGCTGAGGGAGGAGGGTTGCTGTGATGGGGAGGAAATTGTGAAATCCCAGGAATATCCCTTTAAGAGAGGCTCTGAATCACTGGCACACATTGTGGCGCAAAGTCAGTTGAGTTAGCCAACTGGGTCACTACAAGCTGGGCTACAGAGACAAATACTGAGGTTTAGTTGTAGCTGGGTGAAGAAGAGATTTCTGATCCCATCTGAAATCATATTTCTGGCTCACTGCTGTTTTAAATGATCGATTTTGACCACGAAACATTTTCAGCTCTGTGACAATCAGAAATAATCCAACATGGTTTTAAATTGGCTGAATAGATGTGAACATTTCTAGTAACCAAAATCCATTTATTCATGTGAAAAGGTCAGGATGACACAAGTTTTCACAGTTACAGAAAACTTGGGCTGACCTGAAAGCTTCAAACCTTCAGCTGTTGCCATGGTAATCAATGTTCAAAATCAATATTTGAATGATGTAATGATTATTGTTTCATGTACAGTAAGTACAGTAACATATGTGTGTACACAAGAACTTGGCTATATTAAAACAACATTTAGCAGCTATTTTGTTTTAAAATAAGCTTTAGATGGTAAACAGACTTATAATAGGAAGAACAGTACATCTTTCTTTCCTATTACATACCCCCAACGCATACTTTGGTACCAAATCTGATTCAAGCTTGACATGTGGTTGTTTCCTTAACTTTCTTCAAGAATTACTGAACTGGTTTAACACCAGTTATTCTTGGATTTACACCAGTTGACTCATAGCTTATAATTGAATCAACCTTAGTTCTGTAAAAGGAGTCTAATACTTCTGGGTCACTGGTTGAAAACTGCAGCTTGTTGGAATCAAGACCGTGTTGAAAATCAGAAGAGGGCTGAAGTTAAAATGGTCCCAACAGAAGACAGCACAGCCTTGACTGATTATCGACCCTTTTTAACGCAAAAATCAAAAAGCTAAACGGCAGCCACTGTGGGAAGCAGATGGTCCCCTCCTACACTGTTCTTTTTACAGCACACTCCATCAAAACACTCAGGGGAGGTGGACATAGGACTGAGGACCTCCAACTTCAATCACAAGCAGTGACCATGTGGGATATGAAGCGCCGACTGTGAATAATTCATATTCACTAATCCTCTACGCACAAAGTGAAGTTCTGCTCGCACCATTAGGGAGGAGCCATTGAAAGGAAAGGAAAAAGAACAGGGCTGCACAAGTGCTATGCAAACAGTCTGTGGTTACACCTTCATGTAAACAATCAAGTACAGAGTCAAGTGCATGCACAGTGTCACACACACAATGTCACACAGACAATGTCAAGCTCAGATTTGGGGTAGGCCTCACTTGTCAGCTATGTGCACATCACGTTTCTTTGTGCGGACGCTGTGGACTAACCCCTGCTGAGACAGATGATGTCAGGGGCCCACTCTGTGATTGTGGCTGTTAAGATTATTACAATATGTGACTGCTTCAAAAGGGTCTTGAAAAAGGACGTTTGCTCGTCCAAAGAGTGCCAGCTTTAAAAATACTCAAAATGACGCGCAACACTGAGCTGCATGCAACACACCAAGCTAATCAGCTTGTTGTGGAGTACCTCGATCTTTTAAATATCAGTTTGAGTTATCCGCATTTTTAAAGTTATTCTATAACTTAGTAGCTGGTAACATCTACAGGTATTTATAATGAGCTAAAACAATCAATTGAATAAATGATCAGCAACTATGTTGATAATCTATTCATAGTTTTCTTTTTCTAAGCAAAACTTCCCAAAACTCCTCTGGTTCCAGCTTCTCAACCTGAAAATGTACTACGCCATTAGTTTTTGGTTTTATACTTATACTGACCTTAGGCTCTAGAAATCGATCAGGATCTTCTCTGACCTTTTACAGACCGAATAATATATCATGCATCATTTTTAATCAAATTAATGGCCTTTCATTTGGTCACTGGTTGTTTGTAACTACAGATCAAATTAATGATTTGAATTATTGGATGTCTGGATAACGAGTTTTTGGAGAAACAAGCTGAGCAAAGATTAATGGACCCAGCATGACCATTTGTTCTCTAAGTAAGAAAAAAAAATGCAATAAAAACGATATTCTCTCATTTTACCCATAGAACCTGTTTTAAAGTGATTTTATTTTATATATTGACACAGACAGTTGCATTGAAAACCTGTGAAGACCTACTTTTACCACTTACAACTGAACTGGACTCATTAAGGGGAAATCGATAGGACCAGAGGCAGAATGGATTGTAGCTCTAGTGTTGATAAAATCTTATCAATTTCCATCAATGAGCAGAAGCAGGAGTGAAGTATTTCTCAGCTCAGATGCATTAATCCAGGCTTTCAACAAGTGGCAAAGTAACTGTTCTTAAATCATGTAAAGACAATACCACCTTCCTCAAACCTAAAGACATTACTGATCAAGACAAATTCTGCTAAATATTCAGCAAATGGACAATTCTCATCTCCCTTAAGCTCATATCTCTTTTTTAGCTTTCCACTCATGACTGCAGCCTCTTCTACAAAAGGCAAAAACAAAATCAGGGACGTGATGCTCTTGTTCTGGAATCTATTCTGCATACAAACACTATTACCAGGAAAACTAAAGACAATGCTGTACTCTCATACTCGCCTTCCTACACACTCACGATGCACACAAACACACACACACACGAGGCCATTTAAGGACATCTCCCTTTAACACCAAACCTCTCCCTGCTTCCACTGCCTTTTGACTACACACTTCATTCCCGACAAAACAAACACACTGTGGCCAGTGCTCTGCTCTCGTAGTAACCCTAGCAAATAAGGAGCGAGGGAAAGCCACATGCCACAGAAACATGCTCCACCATGACATCACTACATCACTCACCCTCTACAACCAAAGGTATGCATCCATCTAAGGCTGGAAATTGGACGAGGTGGCGCTGCTCGCAAGAATATGCAGTGAACGTGAGGCTGCATCAACTATAAAACTCACAATTTGAGAGCGGGGAGGGGACACAGCTTAACCGCAACACTCAGGATCCACTATTTCCTGTTCTAGCGAGGCTAATCTGACAGCAACGAAGCTGTCACAGGGACTGACTCAGCAGGCTGTATGATTGGCAGCTTCCCTGAGTATCTCCAACCAAGTGTGGATGGTGAAACTGCACACATCCGCTAGTTAATCTAGCAGCATGACAGAATCTTTTTATTTGCTTGCTTGTTGACCAACATGACAGTTATAGAAGCAACACTGTTAAAAGTTTATCCCTTTGAGGTTCAGGGGTAGAAAAACACAGGGTGAGTTAAACGTTGTTCTGGTGAGGTGTTTTTAAATGTTGATAAGCTCCTGGTTACTCATTACCTCCAACAAACCACAGGTCACATCGTTTGTTTACACTGAGCTCAGCATAAGAAACTTTAGGGGAATTAACCAGATGACACTGACAGCAGAAAACCTGTCGAGGAAAGAGTTTAAGTAGAGAAGAAGAAGCAGCGCCGCTTTATTTCAGAGTTATTATTGTTTCCAACTAACAATCCAATCTAATTTCTGGAACATTTCCTGGAAACATACTCAGGATTTCCAGAGCCATGTCCTTTAAATTACTTTTCCATTTCCATTTAAAAGTTAAAATGAATTCAATTTGCATTTAATTTGATTTTATTATTCAACTTATTCATTTGTGCAAAATATGGTTACGGTCTATCTTACAGCACTATAAAATCCAGTTCATTTCAAAGTAATCTTCCAAGATGTTTTCATGCAAAATATCTAAAAGCAAACATACAGCATAAATGAAGAATCAAGTTTTTCATGATAAATGGATGAGTTATAAATATTCACTGGGGTTTAAATTTCTTTCATGGAAATTCATCTGAAAGAAGCATAAAAGATTGGTTAAATGACAGCATCAGTCTCACTTTTTACTGTAATTACAACTAAACGACACTGTTTTTACCAGGAAACTTTCAAGAAACTATTATTGTGAAATAATTAACCTGCAAAATCAAGCTTTATTAAAGTTTTCAGCTTTACTCTCCATACGTGTTAAACTATTGCATGTTTATGCTGAGCTGCGGTGCCCTCGGAGACTTGCTAGTTTGGCAGTTAATTTGAATTAATTAACCGAGAGAACACCAGCTAAACTGTCTCCAATTTAGCTGCGCTTAGTGCCAAATTATATACTTCTCAGGAAACTTGCTAAGAAATAAGGAATTTACAAGCCTGTAAAAATGAAGTGGTACCAACACAGTTAATAAAAATAGAAGCAGTAAGTTTTCAGTGGCAAATACTGCACTTACATATTTTAAGGAGCTAATGTGTGTGAGCCACATCACATGCATTCAGGAAATCAAGACTTCTCAGTTCTCATGATTTTTCTTATCTGACTTTAAGGAAAAGGACTTAAAGAGCAGTTTCAGTTGTAAAACGTAATGCATATTATCTATCCTAACATAAAAGATCTACAATAACCAAATGTTCCAATTATCTATCTGCATCAGCCTTATGTCGCTTTTCAAGCTAACCACAACCCAGGGTGACCCCATGAGTCAGAACAGACTGCAGCGTGGGACAAAAAGTTCACTGTGGCTTAACTATGACAAAGATCTGTAACTGACAAACACCATCAGCCGCATGCATCTGTATTGCTCGGGCCTTGACTTGTAACCACATCCTCTTTCCAGAGAGCAAGAAGGCTTCATGCTGATAGGATGGAAAAGGAGTAGCTGACTACTAAAATAGCCTCTTCCAGTCTCTGTTCCTGTTCAAGACTCCAGACAGTGGGACTTGTACAGAGAAGGTCGACAGGAAGTGGGTGCAAAAGCTTGTATCTCATCATCAGAACCTGGGTTGTGAAGACAGGATGAGGCAGATGCATGATTTCTATCAACAGAGTGAAAAACTGCAACTTTGATATCATTACACTCACTGCAGATGTCTTTTTTTCCCACTTGGGCATGGTCTCACCAAATTAAATGAGACTTTTGGAGAGCTCCTGAACAGCAGATAGGATGGTATTAATAAATGCTTCATGACCATACAATCCAATGGGAAAACAACAGGGACAAGTATTTTAAATCAGTGAGGGCATCTGGTACAGGAAACTGCACAAATGAGGGAAGATGTGAGCACTATGCACTGTCACAATAATAGTAGTTTTAGTTTAAAGGCGTGTAATGCCCCTTGACAGCCTGCAATTGGATTCACAAACTATTTATTTACTGCACATGCAAGACTTTCTCTTTGTGGGGGACAGTAAAATCTGAGCTTTTTCAGACCTGCTGGATCATCTATTATCAATAAAGTTGTGGGCTATTGAGTCCACACACTTCCCCTGGTACACACCGCTCTGCAGCAGAAACAAACTGGACCAGGCAGCTACAAAAAACCCAGCTCGGAGCCAGACATGAGAAAGTGATTTCAGCTGCTGGGTTATCTCGCTGTGAATCTACCTAATTTGCTTGTGGCAGTAGCATATGTTTATCACTGCAGGTCATGCTAAGTCCCTGCAATCTGTGGCTGTGACTGCACCGCAGAGTAGCAATCAACACCGCCGCCGATGATGATAACAACCGTAGCTTCCCCTCAAGATTAATCAAACCGTTCAAATCATAAGCCCTCTTACTGATAAACCCTTTAAAAAAATACCATAATCTATAATCCAGGCAGCCGGAGCCAGCATCTGCCCATAAACGATCCCGCTACACGGCAGCATCCACGCTAAGTCCCGTTATCAAGCTTGTTAGCAAAATGCCGCTAACTAGCTAGCTCTAAGTGCCTGCGACGGGCCGACGCTTCGCAAACCGCTAGCCGAGGCTCGTTAGCTCGTTAGCTAGCTAGCCGACACATTCCTGTCCTCGGCGTGCGACACGAACGCAGTACGGTTTTTCAGAAACCCGACACAACCGGTCACATTTCCCCGCTTTAACACCCGGCAGCCCCGCCGGCTCCACAAAAACAACCCGCGTTCCGGTGATGTTCGCCCGGCGAAGACACCACCGCTTGCCTGCTCGCTAGCTTGCTACCTGCCCTTCCGCCTGGCCTTGACTAGAAAAATGGGAGTGCTGCTCGCTGCCGTTTTGCACTTGGGGACAATTCCTCTCGTTTACCCGGCTGATAAAACACTCGTCCCGCAGCGTGTGCCCGTCGTCCCGCGAGGGGGGTCGAGGCTCCGTGCGGCGGCGCAAACCGGTGGTTAGTGGCCGGTTCTGCGCTTCTAAAGTTGGGTATTTGCACTCACCGTTTGTCGCTCGCTGTCTCTCGCCGCTCCGCAAGTGTCAGTTTGCCTCCGGCCTCTGCGCGCACACACGTCACTCCCCACTATTTCTCATTTTTCTTAAAAGGCCATGACACACGGACCGAGAGCCAGCGATGGAGGAACGCACCGAGCTGATGGCTTCAGTAGAAACAAACACACCAGCTGTGGTTTTCATCAGCGATTAAAGTACATTTATAAGCACGCGCACGTTTCTTCTATTCGTCTTGTAATACCTCAGTAACACAGATCCCAGTAAAACAATGCATCCACTGATGATTTGAGCTCAGAGTTAAGTGTTCTATAAAAATCTATTACACTACAGATCTCATATGAATATGAACTTTGTAGAAAAAAAAAGTTTTAATCATGACAGACACGAAAGACACAGTTTAATGGTCCGTGGTGGTGCAACATCTTAAGATATAACAAGAGAAAACTTTGTGAACAGGGAAACATTGTGATTTAGTTTTACTTTTTCAAATATCTTTCTTTCATTCATATGTGTTGTGCACATGCACTTAAGGTAAAAGGCTTGGTGGCCTTATCTATATCTATATATATCATTATTACCATGATTTTGTATGTACTTCCTTCTGTATTTTAACCTTTTGTTTTCTTGTTGTGCAGCACCTTGTACTTTGCTTGTACTTGTTAAAAAAGTGCTCTATGTAAAAGGTTATTATTGCGATGTGCACGTGTGTGCATGCTTTGTAAATTTGGATTTGTTTTGGATACACTGTGTTCTGAGTCAAGCCTACTTCATCCTGCAGCCATATTTAAAACAGTACTAATTGTGCAATAGTTCTCTGCTTAAAATAGTTAGTTCCTGCATGAATAATTGTTGTTAAACCTTACAGTTCCTCTTTATAGAAAACTGCTGAGTCCACCAACATAACAACCTTTTTGACGATTAACCGTTTAAGTCAACCATTATTTCTCACACCATGTTGTTAAATGAAATGAAATAATAACAGATTCACTGATACTGATGATAATCTCTATAGTTGGAGCCCAAAGCATAACACATTCTTCAAAGATGAGTTGCCTTGTGTTTGTTAAATCTGTCACACAGTGCAATGATGATATCATATGATATTGATACTCCATGAACCAGAGCAGCTCTCTTCTGGGGAAAATCCTCATCCAGTCTCAAGTCTAGAAGCTTGTCTCATTCTAAAACCATGTCAAAACAAATCTGTCAATGGTTTTTGAGTGAATATGCAAAAGGGAAAAGCTGTGAATATGAGCATCTCAAAACACAATCAAAAATATCAAACAAATAAATAAATATACATTATTTAGATGATGAGGGCTGCAGATTCATGATGAGTGTTAATCACCACCCTGCTTTATTTTTTTAGTCACATATTTTAAATCAAGATTACTTATACTTAAACATCACACACACCTGAAGGAGGAGTGACCTTTTGGTTTGGAAATTTGCAGAGTGAAAAACTTACCGCTCATATTTTAATGTTTTCTGCTCCTCTTGATCTTTTCATGATAGTAAACTGAATGTTTGAGTTGCAGGGATCTGGCTGGACCAAACAGGCATCTTCTCATTTGATAAGTTTGATTTATTGAGAAAAAACAGCCAGACTGATCAGTACAATCTTCGAATGGTTAGTTTCATCCTGGACTTACTAATCAGATATTCAAGATGTTTAAAATCCCCTGAAGGCTCATGTCAATATCATGTAATGTGTTTTTTGCTACAGCTCTGAAATGAGCGAACAATCCCTGACCCCTCATCATCATGTCCTTCCCCTGTACCAACAGCGATCTGGCTTCAAACAGATAAGGTGTGTGATGCAGACGTACAAGAATGTGAGAGGAAAGTGTTTCCTCATGCGTCTCCTGCAGTTAACACATCCCAATCAAGTCAGTCACAGATTTGAGAAAGAAAAGAGCAACACAGGTCTGGGTATCTTTGGGAGGAGCCCCCTCTGGTGGTGAATGAGCGATTCTGCACAGGGAGCATGGATTATAGGCAGCAGTGGAAACATTTTAAAAAGCCCTCAATCTATATTTTTCATAACCGAGATGAGAAATAAGAGGGTTGTAATCATTTATAATGCGACAAGAAAGGTTGTACAGCTTGTTTCTTTATTGTACCATTGTACAATCTGGCAAACAGCTTTAATACACTATACATCAATCCCTTGCTCGAGTTTCTCCACACATATGTACTGTCTATGCCAACCTTCGTCATAAGCAGTCTTTTCCACAGCTCTGTGATGAATGTGAAATCACTGTGAGATAAAAAATACCACATTCTGGTACAACTCTGTACAATCTACAATAAATAACTTTCAAACAGACTAATATTCCCGGAATCACATTGGATCTGACAGATGTTTGCCTTCTTGACTAGGAATTAAATGAAATAAGTAAGGCCGGCCAAATGTCAGGGGCCAGCACAAGCAGGAGACGTATTCAAAGCAAATAAAGATGAACGAGCGTATACAAGCAGATACATTTTACTGTATATACCCATAAGTATTATACTTATATATAATTTATTATTTTCCAAGTGTGATGAGTTTTTGCAGGGTTCAACATTATCCAGAGCTCATCTGTCCTGGCCTCCCACATGTGGAGCTACATGCAGTACATACTTCATATGAACAAAATAGAAAAACACGCCTCATTCCCACGAGCCCACAAGTACATATCTGTGTTTGACAAATGTTGGGGTAGAACTGATGCACACAACAAGGCTGAGAATGGCAAAAGGCAGATCTGTACATGGCTCTTGAGAGAAGGAAAATTAAGATGTATATTGTCCATCACTTCTCCGACACAGTCCTTAAAAATCGGGTGCAGTTTTTTTTTATTGTTTGATGTGTGATGATTTGCGTCCCAATTTCTTCTTCGTAACTTCAGCAAGGAATTCAAAAAAGGCCTAGAGGATACAGCAATGGGGAGCCACCTCACTGATATTGCCTGTAGTCTCCAAAAGACGGAGTGGGCATGGACGCAGGAGCAGGCTCCTCGGCGAACTGAGGCCCTGGAGAGAAAAGAAGACAAACTTCAAAGTGAGATGACGGACAAGCAGACGTCTAACAGCTGTTAACAAAGCACAACCACCAATTTGCTCTTTGGCTATTTCCATATAAAGTCATTCACACCAATCAGTTCTGTGATATAAACTTCAGATATCAGAAGTACAACTCACCGGTGGGGAACTGTGAAGAGGCAAACCTAGTAAGCAAGATTCCAGCGCCCTCTATCAATGCCAGCAGAATACCTCCCATAGCTGCTGATCCCACCATGGCCACTGGTCCATCTACACAGGAACAGGAAATGAATGTACATCCATAAATGGACTGTATCTACACAGCATTTATAGTCTGATCAACCACTGAAACCCTTTACAGTACCAGTCACATTCACACATCCATGCAGCGCTAATATATTCTGTGCTTTTTCTATCACACACTGCTGGAGGAGCCGGGAACCAACGACATTCTGGTTAGTGGACGTTCAGTTTTACCTTCTGAGCCACAGTCACTCTTAGTTCATGTCCTAAGCTCAAATATACCTTTAGATTCAACTTGGATGTTGACAACTTTATGTTAAAAGATGTGGTTAAAAGATCCACCATTGTTCAGTTGTCTTTACACAATAACAGCAAACATTTAAAGAAAGGTGCTGCTCTTGATGACATTAGTAAATAACCCTGGTGATCACCGTCAGATGTCAATCAAGACTGATTTGTGGGTAGATCCAGTTGTTTTGCCTTGACTGTAGTTAGTCTAACACAATAGCTGTAATAAAACATAAACTTTTATAGAAAAGGAGACATCTGATGTTTTCTTTTTTAAGTAGCATGACTACATTCAAATTCAGGGGAAGCACTGTGACATACACGGCTGTTTAACATGGTCCATTTGTTTTAAACCACTAGTGAACGGGCAAATAAAACATATGAGGACTTGGTGCATATGATGGAAGTCACAGTGATATGGTATTATGTTGCACAGGTCAGAGTACAAACAATCTTAAGGTCATAAACTCTTCAGTGGTATTGGACAGTTTTTACACTGATGAGCAGAGTCTATGAAAAGATAAGCTCATTATACGGGTTCAGTACAACAGCTTCATTAACATTTGTAAAAGGAATCCAAGCTCTTTCTGTTGACTTTCAAACGCCAGGTTCCTCTGAGCCTACTCACTTCTTGCAGCGAGGATAGCTCCCGTCATGGCCCCACTTGTTATGGAGTTCCACGGATCCTCCTTCCCTCGCACTTTGACTAAACCACAGTCGATCATGGAGAAGAGGCCTCCCCACACTGCAAAGCTTCCTGCAATCATTTAAAAGATTCACCAATTTAAATCATTTCTAGACTTTGTTCGGTTAGGTTGACACACAGTGTATTCATTTAGTATCAAAAAACATGAGGGAACTGAGCGTTTTAACAGTTTCAACAAATCCAACAGAGTGAGACATCCTTGCATTTTGCTACCGCTCTGTTATTTCAATGTGTCAGTTACACTGTTTAATCAACTTTTAAGTCGTGTAAATGAAGTGGAATTAGTTGTTATTGGTAGATATCAAATGTTACAAAGAAAAACCTAGTAAGGACATGACTACTAATAAATAAAGAGTAATATATATAATATTTTCCTATGTTATGGCAGAGACAGTGGAATTACAGCAAGTGTATATTAATGATGGACATTGACGTTGTTGGAGAGTCCAATTCTTATTAAAAAAACAGAAAATAGTATAAAAATGTGCATAACTCATGTCTGCATTCAAACAAGGGCTGCAAAAACAGTACATGTAGCTTTATATATCATATATAACCATGTTAAGTTTTAAAATAGAGTATTTGATTCTCAAGATAAAATATTACTAAAAGGCAAATGATATATAAACTGAGGGTTTGTTTTTACCTCCAAGCTGTGGGGCTCTGGTCTTGATGGCCGTCATGCTACCTCTCATTCTGTGGCTCATCCCCTACGAGACAGAACAACACAGAGTTTGAGGAGACAAAAGATCAGAAGAAGTAATTTATTAATTTACTCAAATATCATTATGAAATAAAGCTGATAATGAAGCACAGTTCAATTATATACACATATTTTACTGTGTTAATCATCTGTGAAAACTGATTACACTGAGCAAGAATCAACCAGGTCACATTTTTGTAGATAGTTG